TTTTTTTTTTTTTTTGGTGGGACTGGGGTTTGAACTCAGGACTTCACACTTGCAAATCAGGCAACCTACCACTTGAGCCACACCTCCAGCCCCCAGGCTTTTCAGCTTCTGACATTTCTAAATACAATGTCCATTCCGAAGGCCCCTGGAATCCCAATTTCTATTCAAACTCATTCTGCGACTTTATGCAAGCAACTTAACCAATCTGTGCCTCAGTTTCCTCATTGGCAAAGTAGAGACAATGCCTACCTCATATAGAAATCCGGGGATTCACTGATTTAGGCTGGTGAATTAACGCGTGCCAGTCACTCAGGTGGTACTGTGCATGCCTTGGTAGGAATGGCTGCCCCATCCCCATCGCCACGATTATTACAACTTGGGGTGACGAGAACTGAGTCAGCACTTCCCGGACAAGTCTGGTTGTCACACTTGGCAATGTTTCAAAGCTATTTTGTACCCAAAGAGGCAGAGAGCTGGAATTCCTCCAATTTGGAGGGAAAATGTTTTGGTTTTAATTTGGGGATGTGCTGGTTGTTGGTGGTTTTCTTGCTCTTTAACTAATAATTGCTGTCACTTGTGCCTTGTCATTACCGGTTTAGTTTGTTATGGGTTATTTAGTTAAATTGCATGTATAATAATGCATATTTGCCTCAGCTCTGTGCAAGCGTAGCTTGCAATTTTCCACTAATTAGACTTTTTAAAGACAGATATGCATTTATCTACTCAAATCTGCATCGTCTGTTTGCAAAAGCAGATGTACACAACTCTCACCCGCCCCTCTCCAGGAAATAATCCACTTATTATCACCCACTTATTTTGCTACTGGAAAAGTAGAAACTAATGGTCTCCTAAAGTGACAGTCATCAACACAGTGCAGCTGAGGTGTGGCTCAAGTGGTAGATCACTTGCTTTGCAAGCACAAAGCCCTGAGTTCAAACCCCAGTCCCACCGAAAAAAAAAAAAAAACTAATAATGATACAGCCAAGAGGGACTGGGGTCCACGTCAGACAGAAATAGTGGGGTTGGAGAAGGGCAGACCCCCAGGTATTTGTGATAGAGTGGTAAATCCACCAAGGATCCCCAACCCACCTGCCTAGCTCCAGACCCTCCCAGAGGGCCTAGACACCGACCCTAGGAATCAGAATCCAGTACCCATCTGAGCTGGCTTTATTTCCCCACTGTGGGGAGATATGAATAGGGTCTGTGGTCCCTCTACCCCCAAAAACCCTCCAGCCTCCCTCTGCTGAAGCAGGGCAACAGCTCAGGTTCTGGTACTCCACCGGCCCAGAGGGGGGCTGCTCTGGGAGGAGCTGGGCCTGTCGTGGTCCCCCTGGATGACATTCTGAAGGTGGTTCCAATGGTGACCCAGCTGTAGTCCATGAGCATGGGGTCCACGTCAGGGACAAGGCCACCAGGTGCTCAGGTTGAGGCTAGCTGGGCCTCACTCTAGGAGGAAACCTCCCTGGAGGGGGCACTGCTCCTTGAAGTTCACCAGCGACCCTCAGTCTGGGGAGAGAGAAGAGAGCAGGTGGTTTGGGGAAGGGGTTAGAGGAAAAAAAAAAAAGGAAGACTAAAAAAAAGAAGAAACACAGAAAAAGCAGCATAAAAAGCCCAAAGAAGACCAAGAGAGTCACCCAGGGTCAACGGAAGGGCAGCCATAGAAAAACACACGAAAGTGCAGGAATGGAGGCCGGTGGCACTGACAGGTCCCACACACTGACCTTTGGGCCCAGGCGGTGTTGGGGGCGGCGGGCCTCCTGGGGGCAGCAAGGCAGATCGGCTCAGGGCCTCGGCCACCCAACCCAGGACGCGAGTACAGTGCTGGACCTGGGGAGCAGGAGGGACATCAAGACAGACAAGAAGAATCCCACTGTCGCCCGTCCCTGCCACAGTCCCCCAGGCAAGCCCCAAGGCCTCACCTCTCGCTCCAGCCCCCTCAGACGCCGGTCATACTCGCGGATCTGCCCCAGCTGCTTCAGTGCTGTGTCCACCCTACCGAGACAGGCTTTCAGGCGGGGCCACCGCCCGCAGCCCCGCCCACTCCAGAAGCCCCGCCCGCAGCCCCGCCTCTCCGCAAAGCCAACTCTGTCTCCTCCCACTCTCCCCGCCTGACGTTACAAGACCGCCCCTCCTGACGGAAGCCCGCCCAGGCTCCGCCCTCACTTCTGAGACGTGCGCTTCAGACGCTCAGAGTCGCTGTCCCGCTTGTCCCGCGCACGGGCCAGCAGGAAATTCTCCTTGTGCACTGACTCCCACGTCATCAGCCTCCTCTCATCTTCCGTGGAGAGGATGACACCTGTTGGCAGAATTCTGGAATCAAAGGGCCCGTCCACCCCAGGCCACGCCCAGCTCCTCCCCAGGCCCCACTCAGGGCGTGGCTACAGCACGCCCCGCCCCAACACTAGGCCACGCCCACTAACTCTTCTGCGCATCCTCCTCCCACCCAATGCTCCTGACCTCCCGAAGCCCTGTCCATCCTAACCACCCGCTGTTCTTACGAAAGTGCTCCTCAGCTGGGGTGGCAGGACGGGCCCTGCGACACCTCCGCAGTCGCCTGATGAGAAGGCGCACGTGGGAGATGATGATGAGGGGTGGGGCCAGCGCAGGGCGAGAGTGGAATTCCCGGATGAGGCTATAACGCTGTGCCTTCCAATAGAGATCGCTATTGCCTTGTACTTTGCCAAACGTGTAGCTGTAGAGGCCAGAGGTCGAGTGTCACAGGAGAGCAAGGCCAGGTCAAGAGTAAGGGATCAAGGTTACATGTCAGATAATATCTATTGGAAGTCCAAGCAGAGGCAGCTCTCAGGATCAATAAAGTCAGAGGTTCTTGGAGGGCGAGATTAGAAGGCAGGTTAAAAAGGTCAAAGGTCATATCAGAGGTCAAGGAGATAGTGTGCGCCATGGATTAGGGTAGGATTGGAATTGGGCTCCAAAGTCAGCCACTTGAGGAAATGAAAATGCAGATGCTTACAGAGATAAGGATTATAGCCAGGTGCCACTGGCTACTCCTGTAATCCTAGCTACTTGGCAGGCTAAAAGTGGTTCAAGGCCAGCTTGGGCAAATAGCTCTAGAGATCCCAATCTCCAAAATAACCAGAGCAAAATGGACTGGAGCACCAGGCACCTGTGGCTCACGCCTGTGATCCTAGCTACTCAGGAGGCAGAGATCAGGAGGACTGTGGTTTGAAGCCAACGTGGGCAGTTTCTGAGACCCTATCTTGAAAAACCACATCACATAAAAAGGGCTGTCAGGATGCTCAAGCAGTAAGAGTGCCTGCTTAGCAAGTGTGAGGCCCTGAGTTCAAACTCTAATGCCACCAAAAAAAATGGACTGGAGGTATGGCTCAAGCAACAGAGCACCTGCTTTGTAAGCAGGAAGCCCTGAGTTCAAACCCCAGTACAAGGGGAAGGAAGGAAGGAGGGAGGGAGGGAGGGAGAGAGGGAGGAAGGAAGGAAGGAAGGAAGAAAATTATGGTTCAATCCTCAAAAACCAAAAAATAAATAAATAAAATTAAAAAGCTAGCAAATGAAATTCAGCAGCATATTAAAAGGATTACACATTATGACCAAATGGGATTTATCTCAGGAAGGCAAGGATGGTCAATCTATGAAAACCAACCTATTCAATATACTGCCCAACAAAGGCAGAAGGCACTTGACAAAACTCAACAGCACTGAAAAACTCATAAAACTAGGGAGAGAAGTCAGTTTTCTCAACATGGCTTCTGAAAAACTCAGCATCATAACTCAATGAAGGAAGACTGAAAGACTGAAACTTTTTCCCAATATCAGGATGAAGAGGGCTGGTGGAGTGGCTCAAGAGATAGAGCACCTGCCTAGCAAGTGTGAGGCCCTGAGTTCAAACCTCAGCACCACCACAAAAAAAAAAAAAAGATGAGGAGAAGAGATGGTGTCTGCTCTGATCACTGCTATTCAATGTTGTCCTGGAAGTTTTGACTGGAATAATTAAGCAAGGAAAAGAAGCAAATATCTTTCTATTGAGATGACAGTCATGCTTTGTATAAAATCATTTTGGTCATGGACCAATCTCATATGTGATGGTGGCCACACAAGATTATATCTAGTGATGGCACAGTCATCTGAGTTTGTGGTTTGTGTAAGTTTACTCCTCTCTCTGACATTCACACAATGATGAAACTGCCCAACAGAACATCAGAACATGTCCCCATCATGAAGGCATACACCACTGTACAGAGGAAACCCCAGAGAACTCAAAGAAAGTGACTAGAGCAAATGAATGAATCCTGCCAAGGTGCAAGGTACAAGTTCAACACACAAAAACCAGTTGTGTTTTTATACACCTGCAAGGAACAATCAGAAATGGAAATGAAGAAAACAATTCCATTAAATATAGCATCTGAATAAATAAACAAACAAACAAAGCACCGAAGAGAAAACTTCACCAAGAAGAGGAAAAACTTGCACACTGAAAATTACAAAACAAGCTGGGCATAGTGCCTCTCGCCTGTAATCCTAGCTACTCAGGAGGCAGAGATTGGGAGGATGGAGGTTTGAGGCCAGACAGACAGAAAGGTCAATAGACTCCATCTCAACCAATAAGCCAGGTATGATAGTGCAATCCTGTCATCCCAGCTGTGCAGGAGGCTCTAGGTTGAAGGATCATGGTCTAGACTGGTTCAGGCAATAAAACAAAAGACCCTACCTGAAAAATAACTAAAGAGAAAAAGGCTAGGGCTGCTGCTCAAATGGTAGAGTACCTGCTTAGCAAGCATAAGGCCCTGAGTTCAAATCCCAGTACCACCAAAAAACAAAGGTCAAAGGCCAAAGCCAAACAAGTATAACTGGCCAACAAGCTGGTAGAAAGAGACTCAACGTCAAGTCATTAAGGAAATACAGATCAAAACCACAGTGATATGACACTAGACCACCAATAATTTTTAAAAAAGGAAAATTACAAGTGTTGGCAAGGATGCAGAGAAACTAGAAACTTTGTACTCTGCTGTTAGGGATGGAAAATGACAGTGACAATTTACAACTGCTATGAAAAACAACTTGGAGATTCTTCAAAAAGCTAAACATTGAATTACAACATGATCCAACAATTCCACTTCTAGATGTACACTCAAAAGAACGTAAAACAGGGTCAGGTATGGTGGGGCATGACTGTAATCCCAGAACAGGAAACTGATGGAAGATAATTGCAAGTTTGAGGACATCGTAGGCTACCCAGCAAGACCCTGTCTCTAACCAGCCCCTGCCCACCCCTCCACCCCAATAAAAAGAAGAGAAGCCAAATCAGAGGCTCCAACTGATACTCTCTTGCCAGTGTTTGCTTTTGCATGATTCACAGCAAGTGAAAACAACCCAAATTCTCACACAGGTGAATAGCTAAACAGTGTGTGTGTCCACACAATGGGATATTAGCTACAAAAAGGAACAAAGCACTGACACATGCTAGAGCATGGATGTAACCTTGAAAACACAGTGCTGAGTGAGATGAGCCAGACAAATAATTCTGCTCACATGAAACATCTAGAATAGGCCAAGCTGTAGCTGGGCATGGTAGTGCACATCTGTAATCCCAGCTTTTGGGAGGCTGAGACAGGAGGATCATGAGTCCCAGATAGAAAACAGATTCAAGGCTACCAAAGGCTGAAACAAAAGGAAAAATGGCACCCACTTTCTGGTTAATGAAAACATTTTGGAAATAGTGGTGGTGGTTGCAGAATGTCTTGAATGTAATTAATGTCACTGAATTCTTACATTTAGGACTATTAAAAATGGCCCATGTTCTATGAGGTATACTTAACCACCATAAACCAACAAAGTGTGGCCTGGGCTGAGGACAGCATAAGAGTCCAAAGTCAGGTAAGAAGCAGTGACTGGCCAGGTTTAGGGACAAGCCAGCCTTAGAGTTGAGTCAGAACACGGAATTGAGTAGACTGAGTAGACTGGGGTCAAGAGTCACAATGGGGTCAAGGGCAGACCCAGGAGCAGTGGCCTCACCTGAACATGGCAATGAGCAAATTAAGCAGCAGGATGTTGGCCACCAGCAGGAAGACCACGAGGAGCAGCACCACCAGCCAGTTGGCATACAGGGACACGCAGGAGCCCGCGCTGGCCCCCGACGGGCGCGCCCATGCTCCCTGCTCCGAGGTGCAGTTCATGTGTTCCATGAAGGCCACTGAGGAGGGAGGGACACTCAGAAGGGGCAGATGCCCAGGAGGATGGACTACAGGGGTGGGGGAAGGAGAGGGAGAGACCCAGAGGCAGGGGGACAGAGACCCGGAGAGGGGGACAATGACCAAGGGAGAGAACAAAGACCCCAGATGGGTGGGGGCAGTGACCCAGAGAAAGGAGACAGAGACCCAGAGAGGGGACAGTAACCCAGAAGAGGGGGAGACTGTGACCCAGAGATAGGGGGGCAGAGACCCAAGAGGGACAGAGAACCTGAGAGAAGGGGGACAGAAACTCAGAAGGGGTGCGCCACCTGTCACCCCTCCCTACCGTCCATGTCCTCCTGGGGAATCTGTCCAAAGATCTGCAGATAGGGCCGGTAGAAGACTCGACGCAGGATATTCGGGAGGTCACGGTCCTGGGGCCTCAGGAGCCCCTCTGTGGCCACCCCGTAAGCAACCAGCCACACCCCAAGGAAGAAGAGGAAGAAGAACACGTCCTTCATCTGCAGACGAAGGAACATGTGGCTGAGTCTGGCCCCGCCCTCCCTTCTTCTGGCCCCTCCCATCCATCCCCAAAGGCACGCCCTTCCGTCATTCCTTCCAGAGCCCCGCCTCCCCTCCTCTGGCCACACCCCTCCACCCTCTGACTCCGCCTGCCTCGCCTGACCCCGCCCCTCTCCGGCCCCTCCCTTCCCTGGGCGCCACCTCACCATCTTGCTGACAATGACGATCTTGGGTCCGAGCTGTTTGTTCACCGTGAAGATGTGCAGCAGCCGCAGGGTGAAGATCATGAAGTCGAGGCAGAGGACAGTGCGGCCCAGGTCGTACAGGCCCGGAGTCAACCTGGGGGTGGGGAGACATGGCAGGGGTCACTCTGGGGTCACAGGATGCCAGGGAACACCGGAGTCTCCCCAACACCCTGCATCAGATGAAGCCGAGGCCTGCACGGGGCAGGACCGGGACCCTCTCACTCCCCAGGGGTCTGCTCCAATTGACTCAGTGCACCTGTGCTCATGAAAAAAGGATGAATGCCGATGGCTTAGCAAAAAAGCTGGAAAATTCCATAAAAATCAAAACTGCCTGAAGGGCTGGAGCTGTGGCTCAGTGGTAGACCGTTTGCCTGGCAGGAGTGAAGTCCTGGGTTTCATTCCCAGCATCACAAAAATAAAGATAAAGAAAAGAAAAATCGCCAGAATATTTGCCCAACCAATGAAAGACAAAATGCAGAGATCCTGCAAACCAGTAAAGAAAGACCAACAACCTGTTCCGATTAAGGAAAGGGATGAAGGACGACAGATAGTTCAAGGAGAACTTCAAGAACATCAGCAGTTCCTACAATGAAAAGGAAAATTAGTCCCTATTTTGCACTTAAAATTTTGGAAATATTAAACCTAGTGTAGCTGGGTGTGATGGGGCACATCTGTAATCCCAGCACTCGGAAGCTGAGGCAGGAGGATGTGAATTAGAGGCCAGTCTGGGATACATAGAGACCTAGTCTCAAAAAAATAAAAAAATTACAGATGGAAAGGGTCAGGTATTGCCTAGCATGTCCTAAAGGGAGTGCTCTCTTACACACTGGCAAAGGTCAAGCAGATAAATGGGTGAAGCTTTTTTTGGTGGGACTGGGGTTTAAACTGAGGGCCTTCCCAGTTGCAAAGCAGGTGCTCTACAGCTTGAGCCACACCTCCAGTCCATTTTGTTCTGGTTATTTTGAGGATGGGGTTTTGAGAACTCCACCCAGGCTGGTCTCAAACCAAGATCCTTCTAACTGCAGTCTCCCAAGTAGCTAGGATTACAGGCATGAGCCAATGGAGGCCAGGTGGGTGAAGCCATTTAAAAGGACATCTATCCGTGTCAAGAATGTAGGTGCCCTGGGACTGGGGATGGAGCTCAGCAGAAAAGCGCCCTTATCTGGCATGCACAAGGCCCTGAGTTCTATCCCCAGCACCGCAGGAAAAAAAAAAAAGAAGAATGTAAGTGCCCTTTGATGTACTAGCTGCACTTCAGGGATGTAAGAAAAAGAAAGAAAAAAAAACTAGAAATAACCTAACTGTCCATCCAGAGGGGAATGGTAAAATAAAGGATGAGTCATCCATTCAGTTCTGGAGGTGACTGGACATTTCTCCCTTGCAAACCAGGACCTTTTCCTCCCATACAATGATTCTTCTATCACCTGCAAAGTGCTGGACTTGAAAAAATGTCCAAAATTGCTGGCATTCCTACAGCATGGAAACACAGAAGCACTGTCTTTAGTCCTTTCATCTCAAAGGACACTTTATACAAAATCCAACAAGGGATAAACAGAAACATTAGTCTTCCTGCAAACTCTCTTATCTCACTCTCTGTTTGGATAAATTATTCATGCCAGGCTATTCTGTATCATCCTAACATAGCTCAGAGGAAGCCTGCCTCTCAGTGTGCCCCCTGAGAAAAGCTTCAGTAGGGAGTCATCACTGTCAACCATTCAGGTTTTTGTTTTGTTTTGTTTTTTGTTTTTTTGAGACATCTTGCTATGTAGCTCAGCCAACCCTGGACTTTGAACTCTCCTGCCTCAGTCTCCTGAGTTTTGGGGTTACAGACGCCAATATGCCCAGCTCCTTCCAGGCTTTAAAAAGGAGTGTTGGTTTCCTTGTAAACGAATAGCCTCCATGCTCTTTATCTCCTGTCCCCAAAAGGAGAGGCTTCCTAACAGCTCAGACTCAAGGAAAGAGAAAGGAGAGAAAGGAGACTGGACAAGAGAGAGTGGGGTGGTGAACGAGAAAGACAGTAGAAGGAAGGAGGGAGGGAGGGAAAGAAGGAAGGAAAGGAAAGAAAGGAAAAAGAAAAGAAAGAAAGGGATCCAGGCACACTGGTGGCTCATTTCTATAATCCTAGCTACGTGGGAGGTGAAGATCAGCAGGAAAACTGTTTGAGGCCAGCCTGGGCAAAAAGGTCATAAGACCCCATCTCAACAAATAGTTTGTTGTGGTGGCATTCACCTGTTATCCCCGCTACCCAAGGAAACATAAAATCGAGAATTGCACTCCAGGGTGGCCTAGGCAAAAAGCAGAGCCCTATCTCAAAAATAAGCAGAGTCAAAAGGGCTGGCAGCGTGGCTTACGCGGTAAAACACAAAGCAGTTAATACCTGATTATAACTTCATACTTTCTTAAGTAAAAAAAGGAAAGAGACTGTAGAAAAATTCTCTGGGCTGACTTCTATCTCTTGAACTTCAGAACTTTTGCCTTACTACTTTATGAAAAGAGAATTCATTCATTAAATTCTGGGCCAAGAGGAATCTGTCTTGTGCGATCTTTAGGCAACAAAGATCTGATGTGGCATGTTCCAAGGATGAGGTATATTCACAAATACTCACATAGAAAGAATTTCAGGACATACTGTAGAGAAAAACAAAAAGTTGCCAGAAGACTACATAAGATATCATGTCATTTGTATAGAAAGAATGGTGGGCATAGCTCCATGTAAATGAATAGAAAAAAGAACCATCAATATCTGCCCCAAACTATTAATGGAGGTAACTGCTGAGAAAGTCAGAAATATGCAACAGTGTTGGAAACTTTTTGGTCTCTGTTCTATGTCCTTATTCATTTGTTTAATTTTGTACAATGAAGATACATTTCTGCATTTCTTTGGTAATACTACAAGATTTAAGTGACTGGAAGATAACAAAGATGTTGGAGTTCATGTCTTGCTGAAGAGAAAGATGGCACACTCCATGACCAAAGCCCCATTTGGGGGATCTCAGAGAAACAGAAAGGAGAGACCCAGAGTCTGGGGAGGACAGGAAAGTTTCCCAAGAAGGGGACAGTGAGCCAAAGTCTAAAGGAAGTAGAGAAGTTGACCTGGCAAAGGAGAGAAGAGAAAAGCATTTCCCAAAAGGGAACAGCAAGTACCAAGGCCCAAAGACATAGGTTTATTCTAAGGACACTTTGAGCTGCCCTTTGCCCTTCCTTCGGAAACCACACGGAATGATCAGAAAACTACAGAAGACATGAACTAACAAGCCATTGAAAATGTCTGAGGAAAATTCTGCACACCTTGTTTTTTTATGAGAAATAAAAAAGAAACAGCCAACTTTCTGACCACATCCTGAAGAATTTGAATCTATGAACTGTGATCCAGGAAAACTAGACATGAAAAACAAGTCACAGCTAGCCAGGCATCAGTGGTTCACACCTGTAATCCCAGCTACTTGGGAGAATAAGATTGGGAGAAACCTGGTTGAAGCCAGCTGGGGCAAAGAGTTTGGGAGACCCCCTATCTCCAAAATAACCAGAGCAGCTCACACCTGTAATCCTAGCTATCAGGAAGCAACAATCAGGAGGATCACAGTTCAAAGCCAGACTGGGCAAAATAGTTCCACAAGACCCTATCTCCAAAAACCCCTCACAAAAATATGGCTGGTGGAGTGGCTCAAGGTGAAGGCCCTGAGTTCAAGCCCCAGTACTGCAAAGTAAATAAATAAATAGAAATGGAGGAGACAGCCCTGACTAGAGGGGCAGGGCCCAGCCCGGCAGGGTCCCCAAGGCTGGGTCCAGGGGCCATCAGGAGGTCCTACTTCACTTGGCCGAGATAAGCTGGTGGTGGGAACTGCACCTACTTACAGAAGATATGGCACTGAGACTCCCCCACTCTCCCCACCCTCCTGCCTCCCCCAAATAGGCAGGGTGGAGGTGGCCTCCCCCTCTCTCACCTGCAGCCCACCCCCAGCAGGAAGCAGGTGAGTGCCAACAGGTCACACTGGTTCCAGGCATCAGAGAGGTAGAGGTGCAGGCGGTGGCGCAGTGGGGCCTGGCCGGGCCCGGGTCCCCCGCTGGCCAGGCTGCCCCAGCCGCCACCCAGGCCCTGGCGGAGTTCCTCGCAGAGCAGGGTGAACACCCAGAAGTACAGCAGCAGCTCCAGCGGCCTGGGCACCTCCGGATGGAAGTCGATGAGCAGCACTCGTGCGAAGAGCAGCAGGAAGAGCAGGTAGCTGACCACGTTGCCCAGAAAGGCTGTCACCGGCGCCCCCCAGAAGTGCGACCAGCGGCGCAGACACCTGCCCCAGCTGCAGCCACCACAGCAGCCTCTGCGACCACGCTGCTGCGGCCTCCCAAGGGGCACCTTCTCAGAGGTGTCCGCAGGCCTGGGGAGAGGGAGAGAGCAGGAAGCCTCAGCTGGACCTCTGAGCATGACCTTGGCCATGACCAACACCTCTCACCTTGCCCCTCCCACCTCCTCACCTGCCCGGCTTGGGAACCCCGCCCCCACCAGCTGCTTTGAGTGTGACAATGCCACCTACTTTTTAGGCGTTATTTATTTATTTGTTTGATTTGGGAGTTTTGGGGAGCGGTACTGAAGTTTGCACTCAGGGCCTCGCACTTGCTACACAGGCGCTATACTGCTTAAGCCACACCCCCAGCCCTTTTTGCTTTAGCTATTTTTCAAATAGGGTTTTGCATTTATGCCTGGGCCACTATCCTCCTGTTTAAGATACCCATGTACCTCGGATGACAGGCCCACATGACACCACATCCAGCCATTGGTTGAGATGTGGTCTCATGAACTTTTTGTCTGGAACCTTGATCATCCCCACCTCCCAAGTAGCTAGGATTACATTCATGAGCTACCGGACCAGCCTGAACATGTTTTTAACAGTTACCAGAAACAGTTTTTCCTCTGGGATATTGGTGCGCAAGCCCCCTCCCTTTCCCCTTTTGTGACTGAAATACAGAAGGCTGCAAAGGTAAAGATACATACATACCAGGCATGGGGGCTGGTGAAGGGAGGGGCTCAAGTGGTAGAGCGCCTGCCTAGCAAGTGTGAGGCCCTGAGTTCAAACCCCAGTACTGCCAAAAAAAAAAAGGCAACAGGCAAAGGTAGTCTATGACTGCAATCCCAGCTACTCGGGAGGTGGAGATAGCCCAATCACAGTTTCAGACCAGCTCAGGGAAAAGTTATCAAAACCCTATCTAAAAAATAAACTAAAAGCAAAAGGGCTGGGGCGTGGCAGAGTGCTTGCCTAGCAAGTGCAAAGCCCCAAATTCAATCTCCAGTGCAGAAAAAAAATGATAAAAGATAAAGGATAAAGATGGGTATAGATTTGAAACTCTCCATTTCTCTGTTACTGTGGATGTAGATTCTTATGCACACACATGCACCACTCCATAAAACAACTAATAAATGTATTAATAATAATAGTAACGATCATCCACAGTAGCTGAACACTTAATAAGTGCAGAGTCCTGAAACCTGAAACATGGCCTTTGATGGCTCCTCCCAACCATTCCATCAGGGCGTGGTCAACTGCATGACTGCTCACCAAATATGAAGGTCCCCTCTCTGTGCCTCTTTTGGTGGGAAACAGGAATGGAGTTGTCATATGATTTACTTTTGCCAATGAAATGTGGACAAAACTGATGGTCACATCAATGTGGAGAACCTAAGAGCCAGAGTCTGGTTGGCTATGTCTTTTTCCCCCTGCCAGACCAGTAACACCCCAGCTAGGGAGGTTCCCTTGTTCCATGGAGGCCACAGGAGCAGAGCCAGAGCCAATGCACAAATGGAAGTGAGAGAGAAGTGACCCTTCACTGTGGTGGCCACTGGGAGTTTTGAAACATTTTGTTATTGCAGCATTATCCCAACCTACCCTGACTAACACAGATCCAACCTCCCATTTACCTTCATTTTACAGAAAAGAAAACTGAGGCTCAAGGTGAAGTCATTTTCAAGACCAAAGTCAGTATGTGAACCCAAGTTGGATTACTCAGAGCCATATCCCTCAGCACCTTGATTACACAGAATTATCTGAAGTTTAAAAAATATTCTGGTTCACGTGAAAAGGTCTTTTGGCTGTGCCAGGGATAGAACTCAGAGCCTTGTTCATTCTAAGCAAGTGCTCTAGCACTGAGCTACACCCCAGCCCTGTAAGGACTGATTTTTTTTTTCAGTACCAGGGCTTGAACTCAGGGCAACACCTTGAGCCACTCTACCAGCCCTGTTTTGTGAAGGACTTTTTTTCAGGATAGGGTCTCACAAACTATTTGCCCAGACTGGCTTCGAACCAAGATCCTCCTGTTTTCTGCCTCCTGAGTAGCTAGGATTATAGGCAGGAGCCACCGGCACCTGGTTAAGGACAGACTTTTTTCTTTTTTTAATTGTTTTTTTCTCTTTTTTTTCAAAGGACAGATTTTTAAAACACCTTCTTAGGCAGAGTACCAGTGGCTCATGTCTATAATCCTAGCTGCTCAGGAAGCAGAGATCAGGAGGATCTCAGTTGGAAGTCAGCTCCAGGAAAATAGTTCCAGAGACCCTATCTTGGAAAAACCCATCACAAAAAGGAGGGGGGGGAGGTTGTGCCAGATACAACTTTCATGGGAACCACAGCATAGTGACTAAAAGCAAGGGTAGGACAGGCATAGTAGTTCACACCTGTAATCCCTGCACTTGGGAGGCTGAGGCAGGACGATCTCAAGTTCCAGGCCAGCCTGGGCTATGGAGTAAGACTGTCTCAAAAATAAGGGCCATGCATCAGAAAAAAGAGGTGAAAAATCCCTAAATGAACCAACTCCTCCTGACTGCATTTGCTCCAGAGGAATGAATGGGTGGGGAGCACGAGGCAGTTGGATTTCTAGTGAGGACTAGAAAGTGAATCTGGAGCTGAACCTTGAGCTTGATAATTTAGAATCTTCTCAATATCTTCAGTGGCTCACCAAAGCCTCTGTCCCTTAAACCCCAGTTCTCACACCTTCCTCCTAGTCCCTAATGTGACTAAGAAGTTACATGTGTCCTGTGTCTGCCAAGGGCACTAATAGTGTCACTCACCCAATAGGCCCTTCCCCATTGAGGCCCCTATCCATGTTGAAGTTGGGGTGCTTCTGCATGGGCTCCTCTTCTGGTTTTCTGACAGGAAGGGAAGTACAGAGAGAGAAATGGAAGAAAGTCTCCAGAAAGACCCAAACTTCCTTACCCAGAGACATTACAGGGAGATAGAGAAGTGGCCCCTAAAATCACCCCAAAGATACCTTCCCCCAGAACCATGGCCTGAAAAGCACAGGAATTGCCCCTAGAGACAATTGGGAGGTATAGAAGAGTACCACCAAATCTCATCTCCTAGGAAATGTTCCAGAACATTCCTTCCAGAGGAGGGAAAGAGAGTCCCTGTCCCAGATACACTAGGTAGACCAAGTAAGAAAGGTGTGCAAAAGTGAGTAGAAAGGAGCAATGAACATTCCCTCCTACCCTTCTAGCCCCAGGGGACTGACCTGTAGGTGATGAGGTTGGTGTAGATGAGTGGGGGGCAAAAGAAGGTGAGAACCAGGGCCCAGATAGGTGTGGTGCTGTCCATCTCTCCCCACCACTTCTGTGTCAGCAGAGACTGTGAGGTGTGGCAAGATTAGGAGTCTGAATCTCCCCACAGTCCCTCCCTAAGACTCCCAGCAAGGGCTGAGCCACAGCTCCAGAGCACAGAGCCTGATGTGGGAGCCAAAACTATTATCGATTAAGGGGGAGTGGTCAAAGAAAACTTGCCCCAAGTTTGTCTAGTAGAGTTAACTAATCAACTTTAGTAACCCTGCATGACTAACACTGGGCCAAGCACTTTACATAGATCAGCTCACTTAACCCTGGCCACCCCCCCCCAAGAAAATGGATACCATTTTCTGTTTTTCAAATAGGAGGCAGAGATTAAGGAAATGGCATAAAGAAACAGTGCTAAAGCTGGAATCCATGAGTTTCACCACCACTCAAAGCAAGGAACTGAGTGTAATCATTTGAGATTTCAGCCAAATCATTCCAATAGGTGAGGATGGGACTTCCTGTTGGGGTAAACAAGGCTTCCTGTTGGGTGGGCAAACTTCCTGTATTGAGGGTGGGAATTTCTGAGGCCTATGAAATTTCATTTAAGGATACTGAGAAAGTTTTCAACACGTCCTATTGTCAGGATTGGAGAGACTGTAGGGCAATCAGGGCTTTCTGTGGGAGAGAAATTTCCTATAGGAAGGGTGGGATTTCCTAAACCAAAGTTTGTCTATGTTCAAAACACTGGGTAGTTTTCCAGTGAGATAATTTTAATTGTTGAGAACCAGAACAAAGGGACTCTTAAGGACGTGGGAGAAACTTCCTGTGCATGAGGCGGGACTTCCTTTAGAATGAATGGGATTATCAATGGTGGTGGGAAGGACTTCCTGTGCAGGAGGTGGGACTTCCTACTAGAGCCCACAGGAATGACTGTTTCTGGAGTGGAACTTTTTAGGAGGGTGGGCTTCACTGTGGGACGGCTTGCCATCTATGGCAGAAGGTGGGGCTTCTTGTGGAAAGAGCTGCCTACTTGAGAGACAAAGGACACTTTGAGACTGGGGCTGGTCCCAGTGGCAGGGGCTCAGTTCCAGTCCCCAGAGTCAGATGCTCACCTGCACCCCATCCTGGGCAAAGAAAGGACGGGCATCAGCCTGCATGGCAAGCTGGAGGCAGGTGGCATCTCCCCAGAGGGGGCAGCGACGGAGGAGTAGGCGGGCAGCCCGTTCCTCACTGTTGTGGTAGCACTCCCCAAAGAGGTCTGGGGACAGAGGGTATCATGGGAGTCCAAAATGCACGTCACTCCCTCTGCAGCCCCTGTCCCTACAACAGGTACCCTGCCCCACGCACCAACACTCATGCCCTCAAATTTGGCCGCCAGGTCTTTCCGCCGCGCTGCCTCCTCAGCCTCTGGTTCCATACGCGCCATCACTCTGAGCAGTAAACAAGCCCCAAGGGCTGAGGACACAGAATTGGAGCCCTGGAGAGATACAGTGGGTGGGATCAGAGTTTGGGGTGAGATTCAGGGAAGGGACACCAAAAGCCTGTGATCAAGGGAAGGGACTGAGTCAGGGGTCATAAATTAACTGGAGTCATCAGAGACAAAGAATTAAGAAATCCTCAACGCAGACAAATACTGCATGATACCACTTAAATGAGGGCCGTAGAGGAGTCACTCACAGAGACAGTCGAAGGATGGTTGTCAGGAGCTGTGAGGAATTATTTTTCAGGGGTACAGAGTTCAGGGGAAGATGAAAGGCTCTAGAAATAGATAATGGCAATGGTTGCACAACAATCGAATGCTACTGTACAAATAAAAAGTGTTCATTGCCAGGTGTGGTGGCTGGGATTACAGGCATGTAATCCCAGCACTCAGGCTGAGACAGGAAGACTGCTTTTTTTGTGGTACTGAGATTTGAACTCAGGGCCTACACCTTGAGTCACTCCACCAGCCCTTTTTTTGTGAATTTACCCAGGCTGGTTTCAAACCACAATCCTCCTGATGTCTGCCTCCTCAGTAGCTAGGATATAGGCTTGAGCCACCAGTGCCTGGGGGAGAATTGCTTTTGATTGAGGTTTTTCTTTTCCCTTTTTTCTGTGTGTGTAGGTTTTTTTTTTTTTCTTTATTTTTTGTTTTGTTTTGCTTTGTTCTGAGGCAAGAGGATTGCAAGTTTGAGACCAGCCTTGACTGTATAGCAAGACCTTGTCTCAAAAAAAAGAAAAACAATGGCCAGGCTCTGGTAGCTCAACTCTGTGATCCTATCTCAAAAATAGCCAGCACAAAAAAAGACTGGCAGAGTGGTAAAGTGGGTGCCTAACAAGCAGGAAGCACTGAGTTCAAACCCCAGTACTGTCAAAAAAGATTAAAAAATAAAAAAAAAACTCAGCATGAAATGGACTGAGGCTTACCTAACAAGCACCAAGTTCTGAGTTCAAACTCCGGTCCCACAAAAAACAAATGGTTTCAGTGATGAATTTTATGTTATATGAATTTTTTGTTGTTTTTGTTTTGAGATTTTATTTTATTTGAGACAGGGTGTTACTTGTTACATGAATTTTCATCTCAATAAAAAATTATCTCAATCAAAAAAATTTGAACTCTTGACCTGATGTGTTGAAACAACCAAATCCTGGAGGGGCACTATTAAAATATTATGGAAGCAGGGCCTGGTGACACACACCTGTAATCCTATCAGTATTGAGGTGGAGGTAGGGGGATCACAGGCGGAGGTTGGCTCAGGCAAAAGCATGAGACCCTATCTGAAAAATAACTACAACTAAGAAGGGGCAGGGGAAGGAGTGACTCAAGTGATAAAGTGCCTGACTAGCATTTATGAGGCCCCAAGTTCAAACCCCACTACCACTAACAAAAATAAAAAAGTTATTTAAAGTGTTATGATGTGGGAGAGGAGAAGGAACAGAAGAAGCAATTAGAGTGACACATCAGGAACTGAGGCTGGAGTGCTGGTCGGGTGGTGTAATGGCCAGAGCTGGTCCAGGGGGCCTTGGTGTCTCTGTAAAGGGCAGAGACTCAGGAAGCAGGATCCAGTTTGGATTCGGCACCCACCTTCTCCCAGAAGTACACGGCCATCTGGGCTCTGTTCAGCAACACAGCCCAAAGCAGCAGGTCACTCCAGGGGGCCTGTCCAAAGCCAGCGTCCTGTGAGGGGTGCGAGGCGGCCCAGTCTGAGAGCAGACACACCTGTGGGCAAAGGGAAGCTTGCAGAGGCCTGGGGGGGGTGTTGGGGGGGGCACTGGCCCTCCTTGGCCCCGCCACCGGGCTGGCTACACCTTCCCTGCTGTAGCCCCGCCCCCAGGCCCCTCCCTGCACTCTCACGCTCTCCTTGCAGTACTGGCCGTTGTGGGGGTCCTGGGCATCCATGGCGGGGAACTTCGGGGCGCACGTCTCCCCCAGAAGTGTCCTCAGCACTTGCCCCACGTGAGGAAGGCGGAGCTCGTCAGCTGGGGCTTTGGCGCCGGCGCCATGGGATGCCTGGTCCAGAAGACTGCGGATGAGTGAGTTGGGGGGCGCCGCGCTGTACAGCTGGGCCAGGCGCATCGGGGTCAGGAAGTAGCCCAGGCTGAGGCCGTGGGAGATGAGCAGACGCACAAACTCAGTCCGGTCATTCAGCAGGGCATCCATGAGGGAGGCCTCCAGGTGGAAGGACTGTGGGGAGGCACGGGTGGGGAGAGACAGGCAGAAGACAGGTGAGCTCAGAGGTCAGGGACAAGAGATGGGTGCATGGGGCTGTGAAGGAGGGAGGGAGAGGGAACAAGCTGGGGACAGGTGAACCCCCCAAGTTGGATCAAAAACAAGAAGAAAGTTGAGCAGGTCCTAATGGAAGTCCGGACCAGATATCCCAGAAACAGGAAGGGGGAGAAAGTACCCTCTTTGCTAGGATCCCTAACCCCCAGGCCCCAACCCCTCACCCGCCATTGAATGTCCCCCCGGAAAAGTTCACTCTGGGCAATGTCCACGCGGTTCCAAGCCACAGCCAAACGAAGCTCATCCAGGTATGCGGAGGCCTCGGAGCTCCTGCAGGCTGGAAGGACAAGGGAGAGAGGGGGCAAGAAGTCAGGGGAGGATTCAAACATCAGACAAATTGGCTTCGATGGACGCCTCCTGTTTACACTTTGTGTGCCAAGGCATGGCTGGGCAGCCGAGGGCTAGTGCACAGGAGAGCAGCAGACTAGGGATAGGCAGACTCCTGGTTCCCATCCTAGGTCCACTAATGCCATTTTTTGGACAGTACTGGGATTTGAGCTCAGGGCTTTGCACTTGCTTGCTAGGCAGGTGCTCTACTGCTTGAACCACTCCACCAGCCCTTACTAATGCCAACTGAGGGCAGGGCGCCGGTGGCTCACGCCTGTAATCCTATTTACTCAGGAGGCAGAGATCAGGAGGACCGCAGTTCAAAGCCAGCCTGGGCAAATAATTCGCAAGACCCTATCTCAAAAATACTCAACACAAAACAGGGCTGGTGGAGTGGTGGCTAAATGGTAAGAGTGCCTGCAGAGAGAGAGAGAGAGGGAGGAAGGAAGCCTGGAGGCACAGCTCAAGCAGTAGAGTGCCTACTGTGAAAGTGGCTCAACGTGAAACCCCAGCACCGCAGGAAAAAAAAATACAAAACAAAAGGTCTGGTGGTGTGGTTTAAGTGATAGAGCACATGATGGAGGCCCTGGGTTCCATCCCCACCATTGCCAAAAAAAAAATAAATAAATGGATGGATGGATGGATGAGTGGGTGGATGGGTGGATGGATGGATGGAAAGATGACTGGCTGAATAGGAAGATGTGTGGATGGGCAAATGGAAAAATGAATGGAGGGATGGATGGATGGATGGATAGACAGACAATGGATGGGTAGATGGAAAGATGGAGGGATGGAAGAGTGGAAATATGAGTGAACTGTAGATGGATGGAAGGATGGACAGATGGATAGAGGAATGGGTGGGTGGGTAGATTGGTGGATGGATGGAAGAATGAGGGTAGCTGAATAGATGAAAAATGAAGGAACATCTGAATGGGTGGGAGGGAAGAGGAGGGAATGAGTGGAAGGATCCAACAGAGAAAAACAGACGTTGAAACAAAGAAAACGCCCTGGGCAAACTGTCCACACAGCACCAGGCAGAGCCTCAGGAAACTCCACCACAGAACAGATATGTGCGAGACAAAAGCAGACATGAGCCTTAGATGAAAGATGATAAAGTGCCCAGGCCAGGCCAGGCATCCAAGGTTGAGCTGAAAAGGAGAACATGGTTGTCCCAGTCTCACCCTTCACAAGGGCCCGCAGCACAATGGTCTCGAACTCCTCAGAGCCGTCCTCGGATGAGTAGACTGTCAGCAGCTCCTTCCGGGTCATGATCCGTTCCACCTGCAGAACTCAGAGTTCTGCATCCCCAGCCCAACTCCTCTGGCCACAGGGCTGCAGGAGGCCCCTGCCCTCCAGGACCCCCGACTATCCAGATCCCACTCCCACTCCCATCTCAGGATGCAGACTTCAGCCCCTGATATCATACCTGAGCCTGCAAGACCTCAGGGTCCCCTTTGGGGAAGAAATGCTTAATCCGATCTTGGGCTTCACCTCTCCTGGTTCCCCTACTCCCTGGTGCCAGAGTGTCTTCCAGGATCTCCGCCAGGCAGTCAGCAGCACCCCCAGAACCAGCCACCAGGAGGCAGGGGAGCTGAGCCTGGGTGGCGTCCTCTATCCTCTACAGGTTGAGGGGACAACAGGTAGGGGAAAGCAGAATATTCACTGTACCTGGATCCAAACCTCCAGTCCCTCCCACCTAGGACTCATGCCCCCAATTCCCCTCCTTAGACACAATCATCGGGGCCCTATACCTTCAACATCTTCTCATCACCATCAATCAGGAGGAGGAGGACAGGGATGTCAATTCCAGTCCCTGAGAGAAGAGAGCCGAGAACTTTGTCACCTCCCCTGGGCATGGGAGAGAACCATGTTTCCCAAGAGTCCCTGGGGCCAACATTGGCCTCTTCCCAACCCTGTGTCTGAGACTCAAGGGAGGTGTCATTTCTTTGTACATTTGGGCATGGGGCCAGATGTGGAAGACAGTATATGTTTAACTTCCCAAAGGAGGACAGGCTTGGGACCTAGTCTTCTGGGCCTCTGAATGACTCAGGAGTTCCTTGTGTGAGTCAGTCTTATAATTGATTATAAGAAGCCAAAAGGAGTGAAAGTTCAAGTAGCAAATGATGAAAATGCAAATAGAAAGGACTGTCCAAACACAATCAAGAGATTTACCAAAGTTCAATAAGGAAATCATTTAAAATGATTTTATACCAACTCTAGCCCCATTAAAATAAGAAACTGAATTGAATAACCGCTATTCATGTCAGTCACCCTGGGGCTTTGAGCTAATGTAATAACACAAGAAAATAAAATAACTGGAATTAAAATGGTGTTTTATTTATTCATTTCTTGTGGGACTATTGATAAGAGAATTGATACAAGAAAAAAAAACACAAAAATCAAACAATCTCTAAACTAGTAATAATATGTATCTTATTAATGTTTTGGTAAAAAATTACAAGCTATCCCAGAATTATTTTATCCAGAAAGATGCAGACTTGTTGGGAAGAAATTTACAAATCTTATTTAGGGACAGGGACTAAATAAATGTAAAAAGTAACATCAACCCAGCAAGCTCGAAGCCCTGAGTTCAAATCCAAGTCCCGCAAAAGGGGAAAAAATTAGCATCAATTCAACCTAACATAATAAGCACATATACTCAACACTGTTTGTGGAAGAGGTGGGGGTAGGGAAGTTTGGAGGTGTTTACCCTTTTTATTTTGCCAGTACTAGAATTTGAACTCAGGGCTTCATGCTTGCTAGGTAGGCACTCTACCATGTAAGCCATTCCTCCAGTCCTTTTTAGTGATGGGTATTTTTGAGATAGGGTCTCTCAAGGACTATTTGCCTGAGGCTGACTTCAAACCCTGATCCACCTGATCACTGCCTCCTGAGTAGCTAGGATTACAGTCATGAACCACTGGCACACCTGGCTACTTCAGTTGCTTTTGGGATAGGGTCTCACTTTTTGTCCAGACCTGCCTGAACCTTGATCTTCCTATTTAGGTTTCCTGCATAGCTGAGATGACAGACCCAAGCCATCATGCCCAGCTCTTGGTTGAGATGGGGTCTCCTGAACATTTTCTCCAGGCTGAACTCCAGCTCCGCCTCTGAAGTAGCTGAGATGGCAGGCATGAGTACCACCCCCCAACCTGAGTTTGCCCTTTTCAGAATGGAACAGAATAATTATAAAGTTCATATGAAACCGTAAATGTCAGAGAGGAACCAGGATGTTTCTGGAAAAGACAATGAGGAAGGCTGGGTCATGGCTCAAGTGGTAGAGCGCCTCTCTAGCAAGCATGAGGCCTTGAGTTCAAGCCCCAGTACCACCAAAAAAAAGATAGACAAGACAATAAGAAGGAACTTTCGCTACCACACAGCACTAAAACATCTTTAAGGTGCTGTAATCAAAACATCATTTTGGCACAAGAATAAATACAGAGATGAGGGGAAAGGGAGACACGGATTCCAGCACATAAAGGAAGCAAGTATGTTACTGCAGGCATTTCAGTCCCCTTGGGAAAAGACTGGTTATTTACTAAACGTTCATAAAGAAATGTTATATGGCTCATTTGGAAAAAAAAAAGAAATGTGGATTTCCTACATCAAAATAAGTAAAAATCATGTCCAGACAGATAAAAGGGTTTTTTTGTTTATTTGGTTTTCACTTGAGGTTTGAACTCAGGGTTTCCTGCCTGCAAAGCAGTTGCTCTATCACTTGAACCACACCTCCAGTCCATTTTGCTCTGGTTATTTTGGAGATGGAGTCTCCCAAACTGATTCCCTGGACAGGCCTCAAACTATGATCCTCCTGATCTCAGCCTCCCAAGTAGCTAGGATTACAGACACGAATCACAGATGCCCAGCATGAAGAAGCTTTAAAGCATGGAAAATTATGGGAAATGTTAGACCACAACCAACTCTCCAACATTTTGATCAGGCCAGGCCAGTGGGTCGAGTCAAAAGGCCACTCACCTCCCACGCCAGTCTTCTGCTGTGCCACGTAGGATTCAAAGCGCAGGCGGAAGCAGTTCTCACCACCCAGGCGGCCATACGTGCCATCGTCCACCAGGAAGAAGGCAGAATAGTTGTAGTCCAGGGGAAACTCAATCCCGTCCTCAGGGTCTCCATGCCACCGGTACCTTGCAGGGAAGGAGCCCTGGGGGACAAATGACCGGACCAGGAAGCCTTTCCCAGAGGACATCACAAGATGTTCCTTGTCATGAACCAGGGATGCAGGCCCCAGCCTCCTCCCTCAGACCCAGAGGTCCAGACCCAGGCCTCCTCCCTCAGACCCAGGGATCCAGGCCCAGCCCTCCCCCCTCAGACCCAGGGGTCCGGGCCCCAGCCCTCTGCTTTCAGACCCGGGGGTCCTTCTCCCTAAGACCCAGGAGTTCAGGCCTCAGCCCCATATTTTTCCAAGACCCCAGTCTTACCTTGGGTTGATGAGGGAGTCTCTATTCCTGACTACACCCCAGGGGGCCACACCCATGGCCACCACCTTGCTGCCCCCAGTGCTGGCTGTCTGGTGGTCTCGCACAGCCACACCTACGTGCCGGCCGATGCCTGTATGCAGTCCGCCAGTGACAATCCAGGCCCCTGCATAGGGACAGAGATATTGACACAGAGGGAGGAAAATAGCAAGTAAGACACAGACACATGGACACGTTGGGGGGAGTAGCCAGAGAGTTGGAGGTTGCAGAGGGACCCAGTCCGGGTACATGGAGCCCCCACCCCCCCGCCAGTCACCTGTGCTCTGGGCAGCCCGAACCAGCCCACGTCGCAGCAGGTCCTGCAGCCAGGTCTGGAGGACGGGGCCCCCCGACCCCCCCAGCACTGATACCACCAGGTTCGGGGCACGAAAGCCCCAGGTGCGGGTGACCAGACTATAAACTGTTGCTGGATCTGTGCGGTCAGAGAGCCGGAGGAACTGTGGACACACGAGAGGAGGGGACACGGGGGAAGGGACAGAGGCCCAGAAACAGAGGGGACAGAGATCCAGAGAGGGACACACAGACCCAGATAGAGACACAGAGACCAAAAGAGAGACAGGGACAGATACCCAGAGAGAGGGGGACAGAGACCATAGCGGGGGGACAGAGACCCAGGGCAGAGGCAGAGATGGGGGCAGGGGAAGGAATAGAGAACCCGGTAGGGGCAGAGACCCAGAGGGAGGGGGAAAGAGACCCAGCGAGAGGGGAGACAGAAACCCAGAGAGAGGGGGATAGAGACCCAGAGACAGAGAGAGAGAGAGAGAGAGAGAGAGAGAGAAGAGAGAGAGAGAGACAGAGACCCCGAGAGAAAGACAGAGATGGGCAAATGGGAAGATATGCGGTCAGCCTTGCTCCCAGCCCTGGCCCTGGGAGCCCGATCCACTGAAAGCCCGTTGCCTGGCCCAGACATGGAAGCCTCACATTGCTGTGCTTGCGGCCAGAGCCCACGAAGTCCAGGTCCCCGTAGGCGTCTGTGGGCTTCTCCGTAGTGTGCACACCACTGTCCCACACCGTCACCACAGCTGCCCCAAACGCATCCTCCACAGCCACTGACGGGTGAGCACTCCGCGGATGCCCACACTGGCACAAGGTCCCTCTGGGGGTGCGAGGGCGGAACATGAAGTCCGGTGTTCACCACCACCCCCTGCATCCTGTAGAGGGAGCTGTCTTCATTGACTCTGTGTCCCCAGAGGCAGAGTTCACGCTAACCCTGGCACTGCCCTGACCACTGAGGGAGAAAACTGAGGCAAGGATAGCTACCCTTCCACGCCACAAGGAAGTCACAAACTGGATCAGGGAGGTCAACAGGGTCCCACCCTGACTATGGCATGCAGGACCAGAAAGGGAAAAGCAAAGTCATCCATCAGCTGGAGCCCTCACTTCCCTCTCCTGCCCTTTCATGAAAAGGAAATTTCAAAACTGAAAAAAAAAGTTTTTAATGAAAAACCTAGCATATGAGAGAGCTCATATGCTAGATAGGGGCTGAAGCAGCTCTGTGACTTTGGCAAGTGTCTTCACCTCTCTGAGCCTAAATTTCCTCCTTAACTAAAAAGACATTAATAGCAAAGCCTACTCTATAAAACTATGAGGAGCCAAGGAGATAACACAATGTTTCCTGAAATGAGCTTTGCACACTGGTCCCAGTTGGAGACAGACTGCATGAACTTCACACGGAGCTTTAAATAACCTTGAATAGCATAGTGAGAAAGTCATTCCTTTTCCAGTACTGCCTAGCGTCAATGAGGGGGCTCAGCTGCGGCCTGCGCGTCTTTGCTGCCAAACCTTTGGCTACTCTTTCTGGGCCTTGGGCCTAGAAAATTGGGCTGGCAACAGCACCTAGCTAGAAGGAAATACCTTTATTTATTTTTCATTGTATTTGTCCTCTATGACTTCTTCCTTTCTCTTTGTCCCCCATGGAACAGAATTTGTATTCATGGTCACCATAGATCAAACTTCTTCCTAACACACAAATGTCCCTCCTGCTAACTGTACTCACACCTGAGTCGCAAAGACTGTCTAAATTTCTTTGGTCCCCTATGCCAAAAAGAATTCAGGAAAGACCTGTATTTCTGTAAATTAAGTGAGCCAAATTAAGGACTAATTTTACAAAAGTGGTAACAGGTAACACATGGATGTAGCCAAATCCATGAAGATGGGACAAGAAGGGTCAACTGGGCCTGTAATCCTAGCTCTCAAGAGGCAGCAATCAGGAGGATCAGGGTTCAAAGCCAACCCCAGGGAAATAGTTTGAGAGTCCCTATTTCAAAAAAGCCCAGAACAAAAAAGAGGGCTGGTGGAGTGGCTCAAGTGGTAGAGCACCTGCCTAGCAAGCATGAAGGCCTGAGTTCAAACCCCAGTACCACCAAAAAATAAAAAAGGGCCACTGTCCACACACAGGATAGTCACTTAGGCCCGTTCCGGGTGCATTATATCCATGACACTCCTTGTGTTCTAACAAACCCACATGAAATCAAAGCAAAATTTCTGTTTCCCAGTCACACTGGCTGTATTCTGCCATATTGGGTATGGGCAGAGGACATGTCCACCATCATGGAAAGCTCAGTGGGCAGCGCTAGTAGGTATCCCAGTCTGCCTTGCTCCTGCCCTCTGTGCTTAGTGTGGACACCGAGACACAGTGCCTTATTCAGGTCTCATCTGACTGCAATGTAGGGTGGCCCTGGCCACAGTCAGCCTTTCAAGCTCTGATCTGGAAACCTGTGTGTTGGCAGGGACGGTCTGGCCCTGGCCCTGGCCCTGGCCCGGCCCCATCTCCTCTCTGGCTGTTCTGTCCCTGCCTCAGTGGCTCTCTCTTCCCCTTGGCCTCCCTGAGTATAGGTGTTGCCCAGAAAGAGGATCTCACTGTTTCCCTTCACAGTTTGCAAACATGAAGCCCACAGGGCACAAGCAAGTTAACAGAGGGAAGCACTGGTAGAAAAGCAGCGGAAGGCTCTGCTGCCGTGACTTGAAGCAGCTCTGAAGGCATTCAGATGTGTGGGTTTGTTTTTGATTGTGTGCCGGGGATCAAACCTGGGACTTCACACATGCTAAAGTCACCCTATACTTCTGAGCTTCACCCTCAGTCCAGAAACAGGTTTTTAAACTTCCACACAAAGAAAGGGAAGGAAGGGATAGAGGGAGGGAGGAAGGAAAGGAGGGAGGGAAGGAAAGAACAGTGGTGCACATATATAATCTTAGCTACTGGGGAGGTAGAGGTAGGAGGATCACAGTTACCTGGGCAAAAGCAGGAGACCCTATCTGAAAAAGAAACTGAAGCAAAAAGACTGGGAGGTGTGGCTCAAGTAGTAGAGCATCTGCTTACTACTTGATTACGTTCAATAAGGAAGAAAAGAGAAAAAGGAGGGAGGGAGGGAAAAGAAGGAAGGAAGGAAAGGCATGGTGGTTTCCACCTATAATCCCAGCATGTGGGATGCTGAGGCAGGAAAATCTCGAGTTTAATCTCGAGTTCAAGGTCATCTGTCTCAGAAAGAAAAGAGAGAAAGGAGGGAGAGAGGGTGGGAGGAAGGAAGGAAGGAAAGAAAGGAAAAGAAAGGAGAAAACTTGACCATAAAATTGCCAGTTCCCAGCCTGCCTGACTTTACACATTTTTTTACCCTGTGACATCTCACCTACTTCTCTGGTTTCAATTACCATCTACAGCTAGGACATGGCAGATCCTACTGTGAGTCCAAACCCACCCTGATTCCCAGCTAGGTCTCTACATGCCCTGCCCCCCAGGCCCATCATAGGCACACAGGTGCACGCTACACTCAGCAACCTTTTCCAAGCCTGCCCATTTTGGGGACAACCCTCCTGTATCCCCACCACCAGATTGCAAGTCAAGGAGCCACCCTTCCTCTGTCCATTGGTCTCCAAGCTGCACACTCCCATCCCTAAATCCCTGCCATGCTCCCTCCTGCCTGTATCTAGTAACCAGGCTTAGGGCTCTCTGTCTCTTGCCCCTGCTAGGCAAGCACTCTACCACATAGCCACACCCCAGTCCTTCTGCTTCAGTTTGTTTTTCAGATAGGGTCTCCTGCTTTTGCCCAGGTAACTGTGATCCTTCTAACTCCACCCTCCTGGGTATTGGGGATTACAGGTGTGAACCACTACACCTGGCTGCTCTTAGACTCTTGATCCTCCCTCCTTGCTAGCTTTACAAACTTCTGTTCATCCTCATACAGCCCCCAAATGCAGAGCCAACCTCACCCCTCCTGTGGCTTCTCAGTACTGGAGGACAAGGGCCTAGACCCTCAGTGTGGCTTCTGAGGACACCCTGTGAGATCTGGCACCAACCTCCCCTGAAGCCTTCTCTCCCATGTCAACACTCCTTACACATTGAACTTTCCTCCATTTTGAAGCCACACCACATCTTCATTAGGGGTGGACTTTGCCCACGCTGTTCCTGCTCATGAAATGACTTTCCATGCACCTCTCTCCAGCTTACCTATCAAACTCAATGTGACCTCTTAGCTCCTCCTCCTCCAGGAGCCACTGGTGACACCCTGGGTCCCCAACAGCTCCCATCTCGTGGCCTTATGACAGTCATACTCTATGTCCTCTACTTCCAGCCAGACTCACTCCTTCTAAACTTTTATTATTTTTTCTGATTGCAAATGGAACGAACCCAGGACCTAGGCTTGCTAAGAAAGTGCTCTATTGCTTGAACCACACCTCCAGTCCATTTTGCTCTGTTATTTTGGAGATGAGGGTCTTAAAACTATTTGCTCATGCTGACCTTAAGCCTCGATCCTCCCAATCTCAGCTTCCCAAGAAGGTAGGATTACAGACCACTGACATCCGGCTAGTAAAAGTGTGGAGCACTTGCGCCCAATAAACGTGTATGTGTTGATTTACACATGCTTTCCAAGATGTATTGCATCAAGATAGTAGGTTCATTAAAAAAACACAGACAGGAAGTTTCCCGCAACCCAAAGACTGTCATGAGAACCACCAGAAAGATAGAAGGGGCTCCAGAGTTCATTGCTGGAGGCTGGGAGCTCCTCAAAGGGCAGCAAACCACTTTGTAGCCCAGGCTGTGTCCCTGACCACCCAGCACAGCGCCCACACGCTGTGATAATTGCTGCCTTCCAGTGGGAATCGCAGATTTTCCCAGACTTATTAGGTGCTGGGCACTGTTCCAGAAATATCGCAGCATTAACTTGTTTAATTCTTACAGTAATCCCAGGAGGAGAGGGTCTGTTTTTAATGCTCAGGCGACAAAGGAGGCAGGTGAAATGACTTGCCCAAAGCCACAGAACAAATTAACCTGGCAGAGCTGTTGCATTATCCTGCACGCACCTCCTCCCTTGGGACTGCTGAGTGGTTTCTCGGGTGGATGAATGAATGAATGAAAATGAAGTAGCCAAAAAAGACAGGGACAGAGAAAGTGACACAGACAGACATAGAGAGACATAAGGAAGGCAAGAAATAGAGCCAAGGCCTGAGCGGGACGATGGAGACCCAAAGCCTCCTCTGGAGAGCTTCAGCAGGGAACGCCCTTGGGATGGGGGTGGGGCCTGGTCTGCGGTGGGCGGGGCCTTCTGGGGGCGGGGCCCTCTTGGGACGAGGCCTTCTGCTGTGGGCACCGCCCTTCTGCTGCAGGGAGTGGGGTGCCTTCTGTGGTGGGCGGGACCTATCTGAAGTAGGCGGGACTTGTCTGCAGTGGGCGGGGTCATCGGGCCCGGCGCTCCGGGTGGGTCCGGGGTGAACTTCTCACCCAGGATCTGCGAGGTCAACTATAAACGTCGTGCAGATTTTCTTCCTGAAGATCTTAGGGATCCAGCTCTGGGGACCGGAACAAGGAGGGGGGTAGGGTGAGGGAGCCACTTCAAACCTATGGGACATAGTGACAGCAGCCCTGCGCCCACTCCTGGACCCCGGAGTTCTGGACCCCAGTGCCCTCCTTCCCCAGGCTTACGAGTCTGGACCCAAACTCCACCTCCCATCCTGGGGTCCCAGGTCTCCACCCCTCCTCCGTCTGACCCAGGAGCCTGAGTCTCCTGTGCTTTCTCTCTGGCCACCAGCTCCCAGGCTCCAGCTCCCCGCTCCCTCCGACCCCGGGCGGATGCCGTACCTGCTCCTTCTCCGCACCCACCATGATGCCGCAGCCCGTCGCAACCTTGCAGCTCTCCGGCCTCCCTAATTTTCCTCCCCACCCTTCCAGTCCCGCCCCGACCAAACCGGATCCGCCACTTCCCAGCTGAGCCTGGGGCGGGGAGTCCCGGAGACACGTCAGCGGGAGGCGGGGAGAGGCTGGCGCGAGGCTGCGATAAAGGGACGGAGAGAGTCAGCGACCCAGGGCTGCAGCGGCCAGGGATGGGGTTGGTGGGGGAAGAGAGACTGGGTATAGGCTCTGAGGGCCAGGATGAGACGAGACAGGAGGGGGGGAGCAGAGACTCAGAAAAGGAGATGCCAGAAATGACGGAGGGGTCACATTGACTCAAAGGGTGAGAGAATTGACTGAAGTGCAGAGACTCAGAAGCAGGGATAGAGGCTATACAGAGAAGGACAGACACACAGAGGAGAACAGACCTACAGAGAGCAGGACAGAGACCCAGAGGGGGTGGGCAAAGACCAAGATAGAGGGGGACAGAGACCCAGAGAGAGGGGGACAGAGACCCAGGGAGAGAGAGCGGGACAGAAACCCAAAGGGAGAAGAGGACAGAGAAAGAGATGGACAGAGACCCAGAGACGGGGACAGAGACTCAGAGAAGAAAACAGAGACCCAGAGAGAGGGGGGGCAGACAGAGACCCAGAGAGGGGGACAGAGACCTGGAGTGGGAGACAGAGAACAAGATGAGGAGGCAGAGACCCAAGGAGAGGTGGACAGAGACTCAGAAGGGGACAGAGACCCAGAAAGAGGAAAACAGAGACTCAGAGAGAGAGAGAGAGACAGAGACCCAAGGGAGGATAAAGACCGTGGAGGGGGGAACAGGCGAGAGAGAGAGAGAGAGAGAGAGAGAGAGAGAGAGAGAGAGAGAGAGAGAGAAAGAGAGAGAAAAATACAGAGACCTAAGGACAGAGAGAGAGA